CCTTTATACAAGGATAAAAACATGGGAATGTGAATTTAGACAGATGTTAAGATGAGATAATTAATGAATCATGAATCATGAATCATGGAAAGCATTCCCATCTTACACAAAATTTATTTTAATTTTCGCGACTTTCGGGACACCTTCAGTTTAAAAAAAAAAAAGAAAAAAAACTAATTCTTTGCACAACAAAAATAGGAAGCGAAAAATTTGATCATTGAAAATTAATCAGTTAATACATCATATTCTCTAGTAACTTTTCACTCGCCATATCTTCTTTACTTAAAATAACATCAATATTTCATTGAAGTGCTTAAACTCCATACAATTTACCCTTGTAAGGAAGATGTTGTTTTCAGACTAGTCAAATAAAGTCAGTACTGATGCCAAATTAATTGTCCAGAGATACTTCAGCCGGTTATTTATATTACACACTTTGATGAAGACACACACCGTTGTAATGACAGTATATAGTAATAGTGAACAAAAATTACAGTAAAGCTTTCTAGTAAGGGCCAACTTTAAACAGAAGGCAAGATATGCTTTACAAACTAGACAATAATTTAGTCTAGTTCTAATGATTTCGAGTATAGTGAATGCATTTAAGTAGTGATATTATTTACAAAATCGGTATAAAACATTTAGAGGAAATCCACAGTACAAAATGATACGAAATAGAGTAGAGAGGGCAAGATTATGATGACCACAAACTTTTTACTTATACCAGCAATAAACATTAAATGCATGAAATAGGTAATATTTCGTTGGGTATTCGACTGGAGTCAAACTGAAATATCACGCCTATGCAATTTGCACGTAATCCCCAAATTTGCGTGGTTCAAATCGTATGTTATTGCCAAATAAAGGTCGAATTACAAGTTCAGCGGATACACGCATTTGATCGGTGCGCAATTGCGATTTCACCTTCAAATTTCGCATCAACAGTGCCAAGATGCATTTTTCTTCCATGAGTGCGAATCTTTGTCCTGTAAGAGGTATTTGTCGCCTTGTCCCAAACACTCGAGTGATTCTATTAGTTTTATACATTCATCATTAGTACCATATTATTATGCTCTAATTTTGAAACATTTCTCATTCCTCAATCATAAATTCTTGACTTCATTATCGATCAGAATTTTATTCAGAAAAGAATACCACTGTTCCCCTTTTTTTGATGACTATCTGTTTGAATCTGATTCCTAGAAATTTTTCAAGAAAGTCTCGAAAATCTAGTACCGATGCAATTTCTAGGTCCAGCAGAGAAAGGAATGTATGAAAACGGATGTCTGAGTTGGCTACCGATAAATCGTTCTGGCTTAAATACTTCTGGGTCTGGCCAGTATCGTGGATCTTTATGTACCATTGATGCAATAATTACAACAGTCACACCACGTGGTAGCAGATGATTATTTCCTAGAATTGAAAGTTTCATTTGCGATGGTTTCAGTTGAAAAGGATTTTTAATTTAGAAATTCTATTCAGAACATTACAATAATTTCATTTATCTATGAGAAAAAAGCAAAATTTGTCAAAAACAAAAATTTGTCAAAATGCACTGATATGTTCAAATATTGCGTATTTTTTGTATTATATTTACTATTTTGTAACATGCAAATGTTTGATACATTGCTTATCAATAATAACCAAATACGTATAGCCAATAATTAAGGCTTCCACAAATGCAACATGTATTCAGCTTTTCAAGTGTTCAAAATCATACCGATTTTTATATCTTCAGTCAACAATCGTGCTTGCATCGGTACGCT